TGTTCTCGGGTCAGTGTCTGCACACAGCTCGCGGCTAGGTGAGCAGTTTCGCTGTGTGCGCCGCCTAAGGAGGTGTAAAATCGTACGGCGACGATGAAAGTGAACCGAACATTCCTTCGCCGTCTCGCGGCGATTCCTGCCCGCCAGCGCTCGCTCGCTGTCGTAACGCATGACAAACAATGTCGATAACCCATAATCTTCGGTCGGGGCCCACCGTTAACGTCCTCCGCCAGGAACTCCAGAAAAACGGAGGCGAGACGCGAGCAAGCCTAAAGGCGCCACGAAATCGCCTCGTGCTGGCCTTATATGGCGACCATTTTCGGGGCTGCGGTACCGTCGATCTGTTTTATTTTTATTCGTAGAAGTCTGAGTCGTCTGGTATCGACGGAAAAGTTAACGTTGGAAGGGGTTCGAAACCTACGAGTTAAAGGGAAAATAATCTTTGATCCTCAGATTCTGTCGGTTAATATTTAACATTGTCAGCAAGAATCCGCAATTTCACCGATAGTAAAGTGAATTCAAGTATTCCCTCCGAAAATAAATGAAGAAAGAAAATAGGTCGGTTTAATATTGATATTTTCGACTTCACAGTAACAGGATACAACATATATACAGTGACTCACATATTCGTTCACATATTTCCGAATATGCAGTATCTGTTTATATACCTTCATTATTTTTACTTCAATAATACGTTATTCCATGTTTGGAAATTAAATTCGCAGTATAGTATCGCACAAATCTGAGTCACTGTATATCAGCCTTTAATTATCAAACAACGATTTGAAGGTCTGGTCGTTAAAGGACTAATAGCAAAGAAATGGATCACAAGAATTATCAATGAAAGTGCTTCAGTTACTTTTAATATTAACAATTATTCTCAAGCAACGTACCCTTTATTTTCGTGACATCGTGGATTGTTAAACGCGTTGCAAAATGCAGAGATTAACCGTCAAAGTCGATGGAAACTCTCAGCGATCGCGTCGGAATATCCTAGAAAGTAGCTCGCAGGCGAGGGAAACGTGTCAGAGGAACCAAAATCGTCCGTCATACTGGTATCGCCGGGGCTTTCTCGCGTTACCATGTCACGCGTGTCCACTCCAACGCCCAGAGACAAGAAAACCCGTGACAAGAACACGGAACGTGACCGCGCAACAAAAATCACGCGACACTCGCCGCGCGAAAGAAACGAGCTGGACCGGAGAGCTTCGCCCTTAATGACGATTCGACATGCCAATAAGTCGTCGAGTGTCACGCGGGATGACGGGAAATATACCCGCGACTGATTCCACGCTCGCGAAACCGTAATCTTCGCGCCGCCAGAGTTATTACGATTTACGAGCGAGCCACGCACGGCACGCTTGGAATCGCACGCGAAACCTCGAAGCATGATATTCGAGTTTGTCTTTATTTAACTTTCATGTACCAAATGCAGGGTCATTTTGACCCATCTAAAGTTATTTCCATATTCTTTGCAGTTGTACAGTGACTCACATATTGGTATACAGATTTCTGAAATAATAATTAGGTGTAAAAGTTTTTATGCAATTTCTATTTATATATTCTCTTTATCGTTGCTTTTATCATCCTCTTGTGATACATTTATTCGTAATTTTGAAATGAAATTTGCATTTTGGGAAATAATATGGTCAACTATAAATGATAGTCTTCCGTGAACAAGCTTGTGAGTCACTGTGTATGAACTTGAAGATATATATATATACAATTGTATGCACAATACCCTCTTCAAACCTGCGTACAATGGAAATTTTACTATGGATCAAAATGGTCCTGCCTCCGCCTGCCGTGTCCGTCCCAGACCATCCGCTTTCCGAGGGTTAATGCACGAACAAAGCTATGAAATTCATGGAAATGAAACGATTCGGAAGCTCTCGAGATCGAGTGCCTAGAATTTCGAGTGAATGTAGAGTTACATATAATCTGTACTTCTAATGTGAACTTCTAGTTGGTTCACGTTGATTATCGAGAAGCATAAACCCTGAGGAGAGGAACATGTATAAGGTGGAAGATCGCGAAAGAACTAGTATACGTCTTTTCATTCGAGGATGTACCCGACTGTCAGAAAAAGTCATCCAATGGTGCACTTATTTTTATTTTGTCTAATTTAAAAAGATAATTGAACTGGTACCGAATAGACTCATATTTTCAGGGTCTGTAGTTCCATTTTCGTCCTTGTCTTACATCAAGCAAACCGTTCTCATGGCAAGTAGAAGGAAACAGGATGACGATTCAAGGTGTATCGCCAGACGGTCAGTGCTACGTTCTCGAGCAGCCACATAAAAGTCCGACTCGAAACGACTCCACTTTTCGTCGAATCGAAACCAGTCTGCCGGAGCAGGTTGATCAACCGGAGGACGAGTATTTTCGCGGATGAAAAATCGTGCCCGGTTCGACCGGGAGGAAACGATGCTCGACGATCGGGGGATTTCGTTTAGGCCGACGGGGGCCGAGTCCTTGAATGAAGACGTTAACCGTTCCCTATTTTCGCTCGTTGGAGAGATTGTTGAAAGCCCCGGACGATTCAGCCGGGCACGTAATGACGGGTATTTAGAAAATTCGATCGTCTAATGTCGCCAGCAGGCGGAAACTTAAAGGATACATTCTTCGTCAGCGGTTCGCAACGCGGGGATGCGGAAATATCCTCGCTGGAAAGACGTTAGAAAGAGATTTTACGAAAATCTGATACACATTCATTAACATTTCTACCTTCAGCAAAATCCAGACATAATCCTGTACAATTTAATTCTTTTATCACAAGTGCATCCTGGCACAGCTAATTAGGATGGAATTCCATTGGCGGTTATTATTATTGGTCCAGAATTCAAAGGCTCTTAATATCCAAGTTAACCCTAGATTCTATCCTATCATCCATGCATAAAAATAGCTGCAGTAAAGACTCGATGAGAGTTGAGTAGGAAGTTCCTCATGAGAGTTTCTACTTCATCCTCACCACTGGGATGCGGAGGCCGTGGAATCTGTCAAGATAATTGATTCTCCCCTTCGTTTCTGTTGCCGAAGATCGGGCTTCGAGCAAACAATAGATTTAGTAGGTGTTGAAACGATTAGTAGTGCACCGTGAAAGTCTTACAGCGGACTCGAGTTTCAAACTCTCGTGGAGTCTTTACTGTACCCATAAAACAGTGATGGATAACTCAGGCCCACCAAACTCACTAGCGGGCAACAACGTGCAGCATGCGGGCATATGGCAGTGGTGGGTGAAATGTGCGAATGAGAGCACGTATCTATCATTTTCTTCACACATAAATATATCGTGAATCACGACTCGTGAAAAAATATTTTCAAATGTTATGACGGATAAATATGTTCGGACAAAAAGATCTCGATTTTCCTGTCTGCCTCAACCCACGTTCGTTGTGAATGAATCAACAAGCTCGAGAAATGAATGAATCTCGGTGGCGAGCGTAGCCGAATAGGTCCAGCGAGGCGAGAATCGAAGCCAGTCGGCGCGTAAGCTTTGGGAACCCCTGGTCTCGAGGGGTGTAATCAAGGCACGCCTGCCGGTAGACGCATATCAATGAGGATTCGACATACCGAAGTGTCCCTCTCGCAATCGTGCGAATAGTAAAAGCGGCATCAGAAGCTCATCTCGTCGCCGGTAAAAGGGGGAGAGGGAGACAGAGGGGAAGGAGAAGTAACCGTTCCTCTCGAGCTATTTTTATGGCACTTAGACTTTCCGACCGGCAACATGCTGGAGCACTTGAAGAACACTTGTGCGCATTCCGTTTTCTTCACGGTCTTCCGCGAAGAGGATGAAGCGGAGACGACGGTTTTTAATTTTCTAGTAGGCGCGGCTACCGCTCCTGGCCCTCTCTCTGTCTCTCTCATCGTCGTGTTTCGAACCGTCTGTATTTAATAGTTTTCTCGGTTCCTTCAGAAACGCCGCGTGAGAAAGTGAGTCACGTTTCCTATTTTTTTTTTTGTTTCTTTCGTTCTGTTTCTCCCCCGTTCCTTTCGCCTGTACACTCACCTATCAGACGCGCGTCACCCGTGTCCATCGCGTTGTTTGCCCTTTTAACGCTGGAATTTAAATTAATATCGTGTGCGCCAGGCTCCTCGGCTGTCTCGTGTACACCACCGTGACACGTTCCCCACAGCGCTGTCGCCTCTCCCTTTGACGATTTCATATCCAGCTGATAAAAAAAGACTTGGGAATATAATAAATCGAGGCTTTTCGTTTGAAACCGCTGGAATCCGTGGGATTGTCGAGCTTGTAATATTTTGTGAATTGGTGGACGTCTGGTGCTTAGTTCCAACACGCGAAATTTCAGCTTGCTGGAGTCAAAAGCGGTCGGTGTCGGTGCTCCGTGGGAGGGTTAATCGATGAAAGACGCGGTACAAAAGCGTGAGAACAGAATTTTCGAGTTTTCTGCAGGAGCTATATCCGTGGGCGGCGCCCTGGTTCTCGAACATCAGGAAGAGTTGAAGAGGGGACGAAAGGTGCACGATCCTCCTACCAGAGTGGATCCTTTCGTGAGCACCTGGCGGACCTGTATCCCAGACGTGGGTACATTTGCCGTCCGGAGGATGAATCGATGGACAAAAACTGATAGAAAACTCTCAGGTGGTTAGCGTGCGAGAATACCGAGCAAAATTGAGGGGTTCGATGCAAGATACCATAACAAATAACGTTGTGAGATATTAAGGCTTTTATGAAAAATAGTGTGCGCCATAATATACTATGAGTGTACATAATTTTGCAACGTACAGTTACAAATTCAGGAGTAACAACTAGACACCAAGAGGTGCAAGAATTAATAAAAATTTCATTTTTCAAGATTTTGTGGCATAGAATCGCCTCGGAGAGTAAGTTAACGCTCCCTCTAATTCTTTCAATTTGGGAATAATGATGAATTACGTTTCCTTTGACATTTATTAAAGATTCACTAGACTGTTTAACACTTATTGTGGCTGTTAATTATTGGTCGTTAACTTAATGTAGGTCCCTCTTGCTAGACCCCTCAATTGGCCACAACAATCTTGTCCAACGAACTAGAAAGATCGCCAAATTCCAATTCAACGATCCGATTTCCAAATTCTTCCTTACCCATGCTGCAAGGAAAGACAGCACAGAAGAAAACCTCTCTCGAGAAAATTCAGCCGTTCTATCCATCGAGCCATCCCGTTAAAGCGTTCGAACGATGACACCATAAGTCAGAGACAATTCACCGTGGCAAGTGGTGGTGGTGGCACGCGAAGTGGCGCGATAAGCGCGTTACACGGGCAGAAAGCTTGGAAAAGCGTTGCTCTCAGCCGTAGAAAAGACGCGGATGGGTGTATACGCGTGACTGGTATCGACATTTCGAAATTGCTACGCTCCGCGTCCATTGTCACCCGTCTCTTCCGCCGGCGTCGAGACTCGTACATCTACCTCTTTCTCTCTTTCCCCAGTTGTCGCTGTTGCAGCGAGAAAAATCGAGGAATATTTCTCCGCTGTAACCTCTTAGACCGGTCCGAGGTAAAGAGACAAGCTGAGGGGTTGGTGGAGAAGAAGAAGGAAACGTTTCGTCTCTGTCTCTGGACGAGTCGTGGAAACAGAATCGAAGGCAACTCGCGGCGGATGGAAGCAATACAGCCAGCCGGAGAATGGAGGCGACGAGACAGTCTTTTACTGGAAATTATCGACGATACGTCGATAAAATGCATTTGCGGATAGAACGGGGCTAGAGAGTATAGTCCATTGTGTCGGCCGTGATAGACCGTGACTGACGGTGTTTCGTGATAGATCGAGGGGAATCGTTTCTCGTGCCGATTGCCGTTGCGTGTTGCCGCGGAACAGGACGCGAAACGAATGCGCGACTCTGGTTCGATTTCGCGGGGATACGGCACGCAGAATTACGCGACAAATTGAGTTCCGGGAAGCTATTAGACACGGGACTCGTACTGGATTTCTTTTGCGGGAGAACATGTTGGAATTTCACATCAACGAATTATAGTTTGTGAAGTCTGGAAAGTATTTTGTGTATTTTTAGTATTATTGTGGGTGGCTCGTGAAGTTGTAAAGTCTGTTTTATAATATTCAGTGATTTTAATGTCACGAAATGTACTTGTTTGGTTACTCTATGTCTTATTGATGTTGTATATTAGAATTTTCTTGTTCTAAACTGAAATGATTTTTAGGTTAAACAACGCGTAAAATGATTAAATGATAGTTACATTACAATTTCAAGGTAGCAGTAATTTAGACGTTTACCCTAGGATTCACCGCAATCTCCCGTTTCCTATCGGTTTCCGAGATGTTGTGTGTACCTTTCGAACAATTATCGTCCGTAGTTCCCGGAACGATGCGATGCCCCGTCGAGGCAAAAGTTCTCGAACTAATTCGAGGATGTATTAAGTGCACGCATCACGATCCCGAACACTTACCTCGTATCACGGAATCGAAACTCTGTAATGGTGAAACGTGATGGCCAGCCATGAAACTTTGCGGCGATTACTCGCCCAGAAATGTTGGAGTCCGTGATCAATGCTGACTCATTCTTCGAGCGAAACTAAGATTCTTTCTTCTTCTTCTTCTTTGAGCATTAGAGGCTATACTCGTATCGTGTTACCCAGTCGTCCCTAGGAGGTTTCATATTTAGGGGAGGTTTCGTCATCGAGGGCTAAGAATATTAGGTGAACCTTCGGTTTCGGAGGGATTACCATCACGTATTTGTTATAGTGAAACTCGATATCGGTCCGTTCGGAGGTAGACAATTTGTGGAACATTCAATATTCCAATCCAAGTTGGAAAAGAATTTAATATATACGAGTCATACGAGTCTTCCATCATTTTTCGATCAGATTTATTTCAGATCTTACAACTAAAACTAACCTTAAACATGCAGATCCAATTTTAGTACACTTACCTTTGCAAATGCTCACAGCCACTTCAATTTTCTTATTGAGAAACGAGTCATCTATAACTCGTGTATCTGACATACGAGGTGCACCTTCAATATCTCACTTTTTAAAGTGATGACGTTAGGTGGGACACCCTCTATACATATATCAAGTCAATGAATCTTGGATTAGGAAGTAGTAAGAGCGCAAGAAAATAGAGAAATGAGTGAACGAGCATCCATCGAGGTATACAAGAATATTTTATTCGTCGAAAGTAACAAATATACAATCTTCCAAATAAACTTGTGTCGATTTAAAAATCGTCGGATTTCACGCGGTTCGAGGTCGTTCTACGCGATCGAACGTCCGCGCACGATTCGTTCTTCCTTCCCCCCCTCCTCCACTCCCGTCGCGTTTCTTCACTCTCATTAAAAAAAAAAAAAAAAAGACAGAAGATCGCGTATCGGCGCGGAGTATATTGTCGACGTGCACGAAAGAAACACGGCATTTCAACAAACTCTGAATAGAAACATCAACGGAAACGTTCGTACGTCGAAAACTGAGAGGTGTGAAATTTTGGCACGATCATCATCCCTCAGGAAACCGGTGTGTCCACTCGTTCGTTCGTGTTTGTGTGTATGTGTATGTGTATCTGTCCTGCTCGTGCGTATTCCGTTTCATATTTATATATCTATATATAACAAATCGATAAAACGTGTTCCATTTACCTTCAGCATTGGTTTTTTTTTTCTCGTATATTTTATATCGCGCTGGAACGATGCCGACATCATCTTCTCTCACTTTCGCTCGTTCCTTATTCGATGTCCTCTACCTAACTATCTAACTATATATATATATATATATATATATATATATATATATATATATATTTATATATATATATTTATTTATACATAAACATCCGTCTAAATGGATATATATATCCATTTTTTCATCTGGTTTCCGCGAGTCCATAGTACGTATGTACACATATGTATAACCATCTAAATGCACAGTCTCTAGTTTTACTTCCGTCACGATTATTATTACATTACGAATTTCAGTTTTGCTTATCGATTCCGCGCGCGTGTGTGTGTGCCGTTTTAACTCGGCTCGTAAACAGAGTTTTATTCTTCTTCGTCTTCCTACAATTCGTTCTATGTACAAGAGACGCGTGTCCGATAGCCGCGCACAGTTAAGGCAGTGTTTTCGATGAGTTCGACCCGGAGAGAACAGGCTTTTACCACCAAAGGCTCACTGGAATCGATTTCGTGGTTCACCGTTGGACTTTCGTCTGGTCACCCACTAGATTCACTGATC